AGGAGGTTGTAGTGAGGTGGGGATGGGGCCCTTCTCCCCGGTAATTAGCGATAGATGAGAGGAAACGGTCTCAAGTTGCGCCAGGGGAGGTTCAGGCTCGACATTAGAAAGAACTTCTTCACCGTTAGAGTCGTTAGGCATTGGAACAGGCTCCCCAGGGAGGTGGTGGAGTCATCGTCCCTGGAGGTGTTCAAAAAAAGTTTAGATGTAGTACTTCAAGACATGGTTTAGTGGACAGGGTGGCATCAGGTATACGGTTGGACTTGATGATCTTTGAGGTCTCGTCCAACCATAATGATTCTATGATTCTATGATTCTATTCTATGAAAGCAAATATCCTTTGCTTTTTGCTGTGAAGGGGGCTGATAAACACGTCCTTCTGCTCTCTAGCAGCTCCAGCCAAACCATGGAGACCTGAGACTAGTCTGGGGGCAAGGAGCATTCGCCTAAAGTTTCTAAATCGTTTGTAGGTGTATTTTCGGAGAAGTAAACTAATATAGTTTACACTCGTTCTAATGTCTTTTTAATATTATTCTGTTGCCTCCAACGAAATGCACTTACTGGGAAGGTCTTTCGTTAAGAGACGATGTATGTTTGGATGTGCCTACATACAGCGATAGATGGAGTAGAAAACGTGGGAAGCTTTCTGTTAGAACTGACGTACAAGGCGCGATGGCTGGCATGGGCTGGGCGGTGGTCGTCGGGGATGCTTTCGCTTTAATGAAGCTAAAGAATGTGAAGTAGGTGTATTCAAATATACATGCACTTGCGACTTATTTTGGATGGCATTACATCAGATCAAAAGTGCTCTGTCTTGAAAAATAGATGTCTCCCTTTCTCGCCTCCTCTGTCTTCTCTTATTTAGCATTTTGATATGAATTATTTTAGTTACTGGAAGGTTGGTTATGACAAATGCTTAAAAAAAAAAATTAGTACCTCTATCTGCCGTTGTTCTTGATGTGTTTTCTGACAGTATTCATGAGGCTAATGTTTGCTACAGCTAGCATTAACAAACAGTTAATAAAATAATCTTGATGAACATTGCTTCCTGGTGGCATCGGTCTGTTAGAGGCACTGGGAGTACGTTGGGCAAAAACCTGCTCAGCGAGTTCCTGGGGAGGTGAGCTTGACTTTTCCCTTCCGACCTTCAAAACCAGCCGATATTAGGGGTTCGGTCATTGTGTCCTGCATCACAAGGCCACTGCAGTAGCACATATATCCTGTGCTTTCCCTAGAAAAAAGTCATCCTTTGAATTTCTCTGGTGTAAGCCTCACTAACGGGTATTTACTTTTCACAATTCGTATTAGATAACATTAGATAAATTACCTTTGGAAAAATGCTTTGTACGTCGGGTTGTGGCTGAAAACCAGGTATTACCCTAGGTGGAAAAAACCTGGGAGTTTATTTTTTGGGATTCTAGTGAAACAGAGACCGAACTGCGTAGCAATGCATCCCGGAGGAGGTGGGATTGAGCAGCTGCCCACTCACGAGTGTCCTGTTGGTACAGGCACTGCCTGGAGGTGGCAAGACCCGGGCTCAGGCTTGGGTTTGAGCCAGGCTGGACAAACTGCCCACCTCTAATGGTTTTCGTTTCTTTGCTCTGTTACTGCTATTTTATTTTGCTCTAGTAATTATTTACTGGGCAGAAAGGGAAAGGGCCAGTCTGTAGGTTGACTGCAAGGGCATTTGTCTGGGGCGTGATGGGTCTCTTTAACAGTAGAGTTTGTGCAGTTTAATGGGTTATTATTTGTTCTGAAGAGAGTGGAGATCTGTGTTTCAAGGCCTCTTGAGTTAAAATAGGTGCATTTGTCCAAGGAACAAAAATATTTGATTTCAGTGATTGGCCTTTTTATACAGAAAGAGTGGTTTTTGCTGAAGACTTGCTGGTGAGCTGTAATTTACAGTATTTGCTGCAGGTGTGGATTTAACTGACGTGCTGAGGAGAAGAATCCTTACAATCAGCAAAGCAGTAGCTCTGGGAGCTAATATTGGGCTAGAACATCTGGCCTTTCAGTGGGTGGAAGGAAATGCTTACTCTTGACTCCTCCAAACTACTCGGCAACTCTGTTAGGGTAGCACAGAGGAGTCTTGACCGACCATGATGCCCCACGGCAGGAGGCTCAGGGTAAGCCCATGTGTAGTCAGAACCCAGGACTTGAGCTCGTTACATATCAAGCGATGTCCAGCAAACCCTCAGACCCTTATGTTTTATATGAGAGGTCTGTTGGGGAACGTTTTGGGTTCAGTATGTTGTACACAGATGTACGTAGCACCACCTGACATGGCTTGAAGGACCATGGGATGAAATAGCTATCCTGCAAAATTCCCAGTAGAAATTAACCTTGGGAGACTTAAGAAAACTATATCCCAAGTCTCCTTCTTCTACCTCTTCTATTTCATGGTATTTTTCCCTCAAAAATAAAAATGCACTAAATGTGGATTCTGAGCTGCCATCCGGGGATAGACGGATATTTTCTGTAGCTTTAAAACTAGTGTAGTTATTGTCAGCTGCCCAGTGGGTATGGATGGAATATCCACGGATTTTATAAACTGTTTTGACAGTGTTGTTTGCTGGACAATTTCTTAACATAATAATTTTTCTGCCACTAATTAAAAGCATCTTTGTAACCCTAGGCTTTGTTTTCTTCTTACAGCAAAGAGCTCCAGGGAAAGTTTTGCATGATGCTGTTTGCAACCACCTGAACCTTGTTGAAGGCGACTATTTTGGCCTTGAATTTCCAGATCATAAAAAGATGATGGTATGTAAAAGGATTAATTTTCAACTGGTTTTCATCTACATGCACGCTGTATTCTCTCCTTCTGCTCTTTAGTTATAAAGTTATATTTAATCCTTAAACTCCAAAAGAAAAAAGGGATTTTTTTTAAAAAATGGTTCTTGCCTGCTGGACTTGAAGAAATGTTTTTAAAACCTGATTACTCCTGTCAGATTTCATTTGTGTTGAAAGTAACAGCCAGTTCAGACACAAGTTGGAAAAGCATTTTATCTTCATCAGTTGCAGTAGAGAAGCCAAAGACTGGACTGTTGCAGAATCTCAACTCTGATTTTACAGACCTGCTTAATTTGGAGTGCAGAAATAATCTTTCTCTGCAGACAGAGAAGTTGCAATGATGGTGACACAGTTCCAATGATTTTCATTGTGGGGCGAGAAAGTGGATAGATAAAATATAACAAGGTTAATGAAAAAGAAAGAAAAAACAAAAAACCCAAATAAATTGATGAAAAAACCTGTCTGGGGAGCTGTGTGACACAGGCGGCTGTCCTGGTCCTGGCACTTTGGACTCTGAGAACTGCTGCCAGCAACATTCAGCCATTGCAGTAATACTTGTAGGGTAGAAACAGTATCATGTAGCGGAGAAAGCCAAAGACGAATGACTTCTCAGCCTCTAATGACTTTCTTTCTGAAGTTTATTTTACTTTAGACTTACTGTGTGACCTACTGGCATGTGTGCTGGTTATCTGGATTGTTTGACCGGTACATTCTGGTGTATACTGGATTTCTTGCCTGTTCAATGAATTCTGCACCAGGAGCCTGGCTGACCTACAGGAGATGACTTTGGGCAATTAGGAAAAAAAAAAAAAAAAAGATCTGTTTTCTGTCCATCTATATAAAATTTCTGTAAGGAGCAATATTTCTTAATGAAAGAAACAAAAGAGGATTTATCCGCTGCTACAGTAGTCTGTTGTCATGACTTAGTGCAAGCTTACATAGACACCAAAACTTAACCTTAGTGGTCATAATGTTTTAGGCTAACTATAATTAAAGAGGAAATTTAAAACAATGGACATCGATCTTTAGAAGTGATCTGCTTCGCAGTTTACTCTTGGATTTACATGAAACACAGTTTACTAAAAAGTTTCGTATTCTGCCAGATATCCTTGGCTAATGCCTTAGGTAACTTGAGAGCTTAACATCACTCTTCAAAACAGTGCAACTCTGCAGTAGTGTTACTACAGAAAGTCCATGTAGCCATGTTAATAATGACATGCTGATGTTCCTGATATATGTATATGTGTAAAACTGAAACAAAGCCTAACATCTCTTGTATATACAGTTGCTTTTTAGTTTTCTAGAAAATAAGAGAAGGTCATTTGATCGACCTTCTCTACTTCACCGGTCATTAAGTTTCAAATAGATCACCCTCTGTGTTTTGCTCAGAGACCTGAAGTAAACTAACAGTTTTCAGTCTTGTGAAAACAAAATGTTTTATTTGCTTGAGGCAGAACACAGGAGAGATTGAGGTACTGCCAGTGCCTGAGGCCCTCGCAGTGGCAGGAACTGACTGGCTGGAAATATGTCCAGGTGATCACAGTGGGTGAGCCAGGGCTCTGATAAAGAGGACGGTGAAGAAAACCCCCTAAGATTATTGCCAGTTCGACCTGAAGGAAAATGCCTCCATGCATCGAGCATGGTAACTCAACTGACCCCTACTCTTGCAGAAGGAAATACTAGCCAAGTATCTGAGAGAGCTGGTCCGTGTTAATTGTTCCAATCTTTGCTTCTGAAAAAGGGGGAGATCCCCAAATCTTGCCCACATCTAGTCAGCCGTGCCCCAGGAATGGTGAGATTCAGTGGGAGTAACGCCTTTGACCACCTAAGAGCAACTCACAGAAACTCTGGAGCAGGAAATTTGATTACAAATTGTTGTTTCAATGTGGAACAGCACTCCAAGAGTAGTATTTACACTTAAAATACAGTAACCAGTTTATATGATGCAGTTGAGGTGAATGTTCCTGTGGGATTTAAAACTGTCTGAACTTCGTAATGGCCATAATGCAGAACTCGGGCATTGTGCAGATAAAAAAAATTGCAGTTAATGGTGTGTCTGAGAAATAAACCACACGTGCATATTTTACATTCGTATCATCTGAAGAGGAGTTGCTTTTCCAATATAGCGTGCAAAGTAAAAGGAAAAATAAATATTTAGAGCGTATTTGTTTGGATGTAATCATATGTACGTGAAGTCATATATTCACAGTTCAGCTGTGTTTGTTTCAACGTGGAAGGCTCCAGACCTGATACCTGATATATAGACAGTTGTACGTCAAGATGCCTGGCGGCTGTATACATTCAGGTGTGCCATGCTTGTAGCAGACAAGATCTATGTGGGAGATGAACGTGGAGGGTCCGAGGGCTACACTTGCTGTGGGGACAACGAGAAGCGAAGCGCTGCTGCTAAGCCTGGGGTTTCACGGAGTTTCATCACACTTGATGTCTGCCCCAGTTCTCCAGCTGCTGAAATGCAGTCACTATTGTGGAATGCCAAACTTTGTTTAAGAAATAAATAATCTAGCTTTTGTGGTTCCGGAGAAAACTGAAAACATGAAGCTTAATTGAAACTTCATGTTATTTTTCATTTTTAGTTTATAAACCAGCCTCAGATTGACTGTGTTTAGATACAATGCGGGAGTTGCATGATGCATAAGTTTTGATTGTTTGGGTTCAGTGATAGCGGTAAGGTCTTCATTTTGCCCCACTTTTCTCCCTACACACATTCAATACATGCATTTCTAGTATCCAGCAGTCTGGTCAAGGATGTTCTAACTTCCTTGTAGGATGATTGGGAAAGTGGAGAAAGGAATGACACACTTGTGTGCTGATTCTGTATCATAAACTCCCTCTGGAGAGAGAGAGAGAATATTATTTTATTTTCTTGGTGTCAAGTAAAACACGTTACTCCCATATTCTTGTAAGCTGGCTGTTTCATATTCAAGATTTTTTTTTTCCCGCTAAACTTGGCAAAGTCCCTGACCTTCATTGCAGATTGTGTACGTGCCAACTTTCTGAAACAAAACAGTTTTAAGTTACTGAAATGCCAAAAAGTGTCAGAACCAGTTTAACGTGTGATAAACACTGTGTTTTGTATTCTTGGATAACCAAATTTCTTTAGCCCTTCTGGGAAAAAAAAAAAAAAAGAGACAGACTTTCATAGGCTGAGAAACATAAAAAGTATTCCATTGAGAAACATTAGTGGGTGTGAAAGGGCAGGAATGTGAGGTCTTTGCTAATTGGAAGCACTCATATTAGTAATGATGAAAATAGCAAACAGCGTTGGAGCAGTTACAGCAGCAATACAGGCCTGTTCCTGTCTGGCTTCTCAGGTGATTTTCTAAAATGCATATTTTGAGTATGTTTCAGTCTCTGCATAATCTAAAATTATTAAAGGTCGAAGATGTATTCATTTCAATACGTATTCTTTTTCTAGAGGAAGACTTGGTTAATTTGTTTTTTAATGGCTTTAACCTTTGTGACAGTTGTAGGATGTTCCTTCACAAATTCCAGGCGTCTCCAGGGGAGGCTCTGTGCAATTGAGTGAGATTTAATGTTACACTTCTCCAGGCTCTGCAAGTCCTCTGGCTTTTACCTTCTGTGTCATTGTCCCTCAGCTTTCCACAACAATTTTCCCAGACCGTTCTGACTGAAGAATGCAGGACTGGGGTTTAGGCTCTGAAAACTGTATTTCCACCCACTGCTGCTCTTTTAAAACCTGAAGGAAAGGCCCACACACTGTCCTGAAAAATAGGTTGTTACAAACCAGATGAAGAGTCGTTAAGCATTGGAACGGGCTCCCCAGGGAGGTGGTGGACTCGTCATCCCTGGAGGTGTTCAAAAATGTTTAGATGTGGCGCTTCGAGACACGGTTTAGTGGGTTTAGTAGGCATGGTGGCGTTGGGTGGAAGGTTGGACTTGATGATCTTTGAGGTTTCTTCCAACCATAACGAATCTATGATTCTACAGAAGTTACACTGCCCCCAATTAAGAAAGCCTAGGCCTGAGCTTCCCAGGCGTATAGAAAAGAGATGATGTTAGACAGCTCGAAAGTAAGCTTCCTTCTGCTCACGCTTTGGACTGTTGTCTGCCTCACGCCCTTGGCCCGAGAGGACATTCCTCCCTCAGGTGGTGGCGGTGAGACTCCTTTATCTCCATGGGGCCGTGTTTATGCCCTGGCCTCACAGTTGGGTCCCCAAAACCAGGAGGTTGCCACCTTCTCGTTTCTCTGTTTGCCCAGCATTCCCAGCTTAAAAGCAAGCACCAGCCCCTTTCACTTGCCTTTCTCAAGATTAATTAGGGTGAAGACCACAATGACAGTATAGAACTGTCTTTTTCTGAGCTCCTTGTTTCGGTTGTTCTTTCCACGAAAGGAATGGTTCCTGACCAAACGTGCTGTGTGATTGTTGGTACCTGAGAGGAGTGAGGATTTCCTCACTGTTTTCCAGCTCTCTGAATCTGTCCTGCTTCAAGAGCTGTGCCACGGTGACAGCCCATTAACAGTGCTGTTTCCTGAACATCTGTCTTCCAGAGTTTGGGGGAGAAAACCCACTACATATAATTAGGGAGAGTATGATGACCACACTGGAAAAAATAAATAAATAACCGATAATCCAAGTAGTACAATAAAAAATGCTCCTCTGTGAGTGGTAGTTTGTTCAGAGATGGTAACACCACCTTCTTTTGTTTTCAGGTGTGGCTTGATCTTTTGAAGCCTGTTATGAAACAGATTAGAAGTAAGTACTTCCTCGCTGTCATTTATTTTGTCAGTCTGAGAATACTTGAAGGAACTAGGACTCTGTCAGTTGGGATCTTTATCTTCTCAACTTTCCTCACTGAATTTTATTTGGATTATTTTTTATTTCTGGTCTGTCCTTAAAAGATGTACTGAGTGCTGTGAAATTATGTCGCATGAAGATACAAAGGGGCTGACGTAGTAGGAGGCTGCGGTGGTGGCAATGGAGGGAACAGTTTTGTAGAGAAAAAAGAGTGCGGTAAAAGAAGGATTAAAGGAAGCATCCATTGCCAAAAGGTAGCAGTAATCAGGATAAAAGAAAAAGAACAGGAAGACATTATTACTGAGAAAGAGCTAGCAAATATATTACAACTGTGTGGGACATTGCTGCAGCACTGTCTGAGACCAAGAGGAGGGAACAGTTGGGATAGGGCCATCAGGGAAAGTTACGGTGGGTGGTGGGAAAGGACAGGAAATTGTAAATAGCCGTCAGCTCCGGGAAGAGTCGAAGTGAACAGGAAAGGTTTTGGTGATTTTGTTTCTCTGTCAAATATCAGCAAAGTTCCTCATTTATTGAGCTTTGCTATTGAGGTTCAAGTTTTCCTCGATGCCTCTCTGGTCATACTGGACTGTGTGTATGGTCTGGCACCTCTCCTTCTCATGAAAGAGAGATGCATTGGTCCTTTTGTCACTGGTCTTACTTGTAAGAGTCGGAACAAATGTGCTGCTATTAAAACAGGAAATTTGCTAGTGGACTTGAAAAATAGAGTGTATTTTAGCTCTCTTCTGTTCTGAAGCAAGGAAAATAGACGTGCATAATATATTCTATTGGATCAATTGATGTAATTACTGAAAACACACTCAGTTTTGGCAGAGTATCCCTTGACCAAGTTGCTGTTCTCTTTTATTATTTGTAAATTTTATTGTGCAATCTCTAAATAACGTGAATACTAACGTTAGGAGGTTAGCATGTACATATGCACTGCAGGTTCCATGAATCATCCCTTGTACATCACTCTCTAACAAAATTTGGCTAGCGTGTTACTGATGTTCACTAACTTCCTTTGACCTTTCCCCTAGGACCGAAGCATGTTGTTGTAAAATTTGTGGTAAAATTCTTCCCACCTGACCATGCTCAGCTGCAGGAGGAACTGACAAGGTTAGTAGCTGCATGACTTTTTTTCTTATTAAATCTCTGGTGGACAGAGCGGTGAACATGGAATTTGGGATGATTGGATGAGGATCGATGGCTGCCTTTTAGTATTAGCTTGATGTTATTTGCTGCAACCCTGAGTGCACCTGAAAAATAGACCCTAAGATTCAGTTGCAGTCTGTGCTGAGAGGTTCTGCAAAGTGCAGGAGTCCTTTGCCTCCTTGGATTTAGGATCCGGGGAGAGCTTTACTCACCCCAAGAGAAAGCAGTTTGGCAACAGAGTTCTCCAAGCCCTTTTGGCAGTGGTGTTGGAAGGTGTGGACCAATCTGATCTCCTTCTATGGCAAAGTGACCCGCTTAACAGATGAGGGAAAGCCTGTGGATGTAGTCTGTCTAGACGTCAGTAAAGCATTTGACACGGTCTCCCACAGCATCCTCCTAAATAAATTGGCTGCTCATACCTTAGGCAGGCGGACTCTAAGATAGGTAAAAAATTGGCTGGATGGTTGAGTCCAGAGAGTTGTGGTCAACAGAGCCAAATCCAGTTGGTGACTGTTCACTAGTGGTGTTCCCCCAGGCTCAGTTCTGGGACCGGTGCTGTTTAACATCTTTATAGATGGTCTGGATGAGGGGATTGAGGGCACCCTCAGTAAATTGGCAGATGATACCAAGCTGGGTGGGAGTGTTGATCTGCTGGAAGGTAGGAAGGCTCTGCAGAGGGACCTGGACAGGCTGGATCGATGGGCTGAGGCCAACGGCGTGAGGTTCAACAAGACCAAGTGCTGGGTCCTACACTTCGGCCACAACAACCCCATGCAGCGCTACAGGCTGGGGGAAGAGTCGTAGAAAGTGATCAAGCAGAAAAAGACCTGGGGGTGTTGGTTGACAACCAGCTGAACATGAGCCAGCAGTGTGCCCAGGTGGCCATCAGCATCCTGGCTTGTATCAGCAATAGTGTGGCCAGCAGGACCAGGGCAGTGATCGTCCCCGTGTACTGGGCACTGGTGAGGCCGCACCTCGAGTGCTGTGTTCAGTTTTGGGCCCCTCGCTACCAGAAAGCCCTTGAGGGGCTGGAGCTAGTGCAGAAAAGGGCAACGAAGGTGGTGAAGGGTCTGGGGCACAAGTCTGATGGGGAGCGGCTGAAGGAGCTGGGGGTGTTTGGTCTGGAGAAGAGGAGGCTGAGGGGAGACCTGATCGCCCTCTACAACGACCTGAAAGGAGGGTGTATCTGCCTCTTCTCCCAGGCAACCAGTGACAGGACAAGAGGGCACGGTCTGAAGCTGCACCAGGGGAAGTTCAGGCTAGAAATGAGGAGGCATTTCTCCCCAGAAAGGGTCGTTAGGCATTGGGATGGGCTGCCTAGGGAGGTGGTAGAGTCCCCATCCCTGGAGGTGTTTAAGAAGAGACTGGACGTGGCAGCTAGTGCCATGGTCTAGTTGACATGGGGGTGTTAGAGCAAAGGTTGGACTCGGTGATCCCAGAGGTCTCTTACAACCAAATCGATTCTATGATTCTTTGAAGGGACCTAAGGCATGTGTTGGTGCCCTTGGGTGCTCTTCTGCTGAGGGACACGTGCAAACCTACACCCACATTTGGGAGAGAGTTGCTTTGCATGAATTGCCCAGTTGCAGCAGCATTGGACCCTATTTGTATAGCCAACACGAACGCCAAAGGTTTGCACAGGTGGAAATGTGACTTTGGAGATGGAGAAATGGAAAGGAGAGGGAATAAAATGAAAAGTAAGAGGAAGGTAGAGAATGATACACACGCATGCAGAAAGAGTACCTTAAAGGTGTGTTTACTTTCAGTGCATTTCAAAAACTTCATTTAATCTCTGAATTTCGCACTGCATTGGCATAAAAAGTCGTATTTCTCTATTAGTAAATATATATATGAGGGACCTATTAAGGTTCTTCCTCATTAACAGGTCCTTCCTTTATGGTCGGAAGCATTGTTTCATTACAATATTTCTTCACTGCAGCTTTTCACCTCTTTTTCTGATCTACAGTATTATTATTTTTTAATTACATTTTCCCATTCTGATTCAATATTTTCACTATTAGTTTTTATTTTTAATCTTCCCACGAGATGAAGTCCTCTTTTACAAAAAGCTCTTGTGTCTATGATCTGCTTTATGAAGAACAAGTCCACTTTTGTGATGTTCTGTGTTTATCTCTGTCTTGTTTTCTTTTGGTAATTGAGCAAAGAATGGAAAAAAAGAAATTATCGATATCTCTTGCTGGCCTGGACAGAGAAAAGTAGAAAAGGAATATTTACTTGAAAGGCTGAGTAGAAACAATAAAGGGATGAATGAAAACTCACAGTGGGATGTTACTAATGAAACATTTCTGTTTCTCAAGAGATATTCTGCATATCAGTTACTTAGTATGTGAACTGTAACTTGATTTTTGGTGGTCTCTTTCTGCACCTGGAGACATGTCTCTCAATGCTAATGACTTGTTTGCTGAGATTTTAAATTTGTATGCTAGGGAACTTGAATATATGTACACAGCAGCGTGTAGGATGTAAAAGCATATCCACAGGGAACAGCTTCATCAGTTGAAGAAGCAGAGAATGCAGCACTTTGGCGCTAGATTCTTCTACTAGGGTGAATTTTGTATGGATAGGCGGATATCTGCGGGTTTCAAAAGGACGTTATTTAAATCGGCTATATTATTTCCTGTACTGTGTATGTTTCCATACTTCTCAAATCAGCTTGCCCTTTTCATTTCATTTACCTACATCTCCTTGTTCAGAAACTCACTGTTCAAATGAGAGCTTTTCACTGAACCTATTAAAATCCAGTCTTATTAAAAGCTATTGAGATTCTAGTATGAGTTCTGCAGAAGAGCTGCAGTCTTTGGAAGGCTTGTTAAGGTGTCTAACCAGTTCAGGTTTCATACCAACTGTAGGAGAAATGCCCACTGCTAGCTCATTTTTTTTCTAGGGAAGAATTTGATGCTGAGTGGAACTAAGCAATTTCAATTCCCGATGAAGCTAGAAGAAATTTAAAAGTTGAAATAATGTCATGGACATATGTTGTCTCTGCACTTAAACTGTTGATGTAGAACTGCCCTACGTGGCTGAGATGGTTTGGAGGCGACGTTAAAAAAGGCTGATGCGCAGGCGGTGCAGGTAACGGGGCCACAAAGGTATCGGAGGTAGCTAGAGTTGTTTGATCAGGATCTTGCTCCTCGTTTCCAGGTGAGTGCCAAGGTGGAAGTTTAGAGTTCTCGTCGTATTCTACAAGTACTGACTGATAACTCTAAATCACTGGTTTATCTGGCATTTCTTCGTAGTTACGAGCGGCTCCATTATCTAGTGCTGCTTGCTGTGCGGTTGCTGAGCACTTAATAGCTGTCACACTTGCTTTCACTGTCATATCTCAGTGCTCTGGTTCCAAGGGAGCGAAGGGGAGAGAGAAAGAGAGCGAGGTTGGTTCTGCAAAGCAGCCACCGTGGAAGACTTTAATGGCTGTGATACAGTATCTGTTTTATTTAGCCTCTAAACTTAGGAAATTGGGATCACTTCTGTAGATTCCAAAAAGTGAAAGGAACATGTAGTCAAAACCGGAGTTGGCGTTGAAACACTTTGCCCTTTCCCTCATGCTCTGTGTAACTCTTTGTTGACTTTTGTCTTGCAGGTACCTATTTGCATTGCAAGTGAAGCAGGACCTGGCACAGGGAAGGCTAACGTGTAATGATACCAGCACTGCCCTCTTAATCTCGCACATAGTACAGTGTAAGTTCCCTTTTTTCTTCCTTCCAGGAGGATGAACAGGATGATTGATTGGATGTGTTTTGCTGGGTTACCTGTTAGTAGCTGCTATAGGGACATGTTTAAGCCACATGGGCAATTTATTGTATTTCTGTATAATGGGATTCAGATAGAGATAATTTACTCTTTCAAATAAAGAAGAGCTCCTGGACACTGGATTTGCATTTTTAAAGCACTGCATTCAATAGTCTGCCTAGGATGATTTAAAAACCAAACTTTGCAGGCAGTGGCAAATGGGTTTGAATTCTTCTGAATTCCTGCTTTATTATACTTTGTATCAAGTCAGCAGAGCATTCAAATTCCTGGAGATCTGTGTGCTGTCTAGAGAATGTAGTAAATAAACATGCTTAGAATGCCAGACTGAATCACAGTCCTAAGAGGAAACTGATAGGGCATTTAAAAAGGACAACAGATTTTAAGCTTTTTTTTTTTTTTTTAATTGCAAAGTATGCACAATAAGACTGTTCGGTAGAATCATACATTAACTTTGTTCATCACATCAAAACTTCTTTTAGTTTCCAGATCACTTGAAAGGCAGTGTGTGTTTTTCATTTCAAGACTTTATGGATACTCATCTTGAGAATAACATTAGGAAAACCCACTTAGTAGCATGTGTAATGGTTGTAATAGACCACTGTTTTGAATGGTCATTGTAAAATTCCATATTGCATATTTCCACTGAGATGCTGCTGTATGGAAATTGCAGTCACCAAAGATATTCAGAAGCTCTTTAGTGAAGAACAGATAAATCTCATATTCCTTTGTCATAGTCTGTTTGAGTGTTAGGACAGTTTCTCATCAGTTGCTGTCGGAAAGGTAGGTATTGCATGGTTTTCTATTTGCTGTGGTCATCTTTGCCTAGTGTAACTCAGTAGCAATAAGAAGCTGTACAACAGCCTCTGTGAAATTCTATATTCCTCATATCGTTTTAAAACTGAGTATTTTTGCAGCACAGACTTAAAATAAAAAAAATAAATCCTTGGCTAGCGAGCTTTTCGTGTCTTTTAGTTTTTCCCATTCTGTGGTGTCCAGCACACCAACTGTAGTTCTTTCCTCGTTTAAGCTAATTTGCTTTCATCTCAGGAAAAAAAGTCTTGATCGTTTGGGGGAAATTGAGTATCATTAGTTACACTGCATTCTAGGAGGGTGATTTTTCCTACTAAATGTCTGTGCACCAAAGATAGATGTTGGGGAGAGAACACCCTAATGCATGTGTGTCTCTTCATTTGAGGTATTGCTTCATGATCATCCTCCTTTGAGCTCTTGTCTTTTGTATGCCTTATTTTCCTTATGACTTCTTACTGATTACTCGATTAAGTTCTTCACTGAACTATCTACAACTCTGGTGCCTGAACTGCTCAAAGTGCAACTGCTAGCTTGTTTTCCTAACGCAACAGCATAAGAGGGTAAAATACAGGGCGTCCTTTCACCTTTACAAGCTGTCCTTTTCCCTTCTCCCCACAGTCAAACTCAAATTTAATTCCGTGTTTTTTCAAAATTCCTCCGTTATAAACCTGGCCATTCCCTCTGCCACACCTGTGCAGGCCAGCAAGAGGCATTCCTTTCAAAGTGTGCAAAAATGGCAAATCGCCACCATTGCTCTGACCCTGCTGAGATGCATTATGCTGTTGGATTAAATAATTTTCCTCAGTTGCTGGAAATGATCACGATGACTTTGAAATCCTTGTAGTTCTTTGTTGCCTTCACCTGTGAGCTTGAGGTGCAGACTAATTCTGAACTGGGGTTTTAGGAATCCAGTAGTACTCTCCTTACGGGGAGAGTAAGGTAGGATACTTCTGTAGTGAAAAATGGAGTTTTTCCGTCGTGTCAGAAGGAGAGAGGCGAGAGATTCATCATGCCGAAGTGAGACAGTATTCACAGGATCTGAACTGCCATTTTGGGCAGAGGGATGTCGTGTCTCATGGGGCACCTGCAGCGCTGCTTCCCCTCACCATCTCCAGACTGCAACCTGGACCTGTTTTTTTCCATTTATGGTTTTTCCCCTCTCCCTTTTGTGTGTAACGGTGTTCGCTAGAAACCTCTGCTAGAAGGTTGTGACTGTCTCATTCATTTATTCATCTTATGTCTCATGAACGTTTTTCTGTGAAATTTTTCTCTGGTAAGAATCCGTAGCTGTATCTTACCCACATGGCTGTTTTTTGTATTTATTTTCTATCTAGCTTATTATGCAGTAGCCAAAAAAATACGACGTATTTGTCTGCAACAAAAATAAAACTAGACAACTGATAAAAGTAATGATACCAAAGTGGAATGATTGAGACTGCAGGAGGTTACGTATTCGATGTCTTATCGATGCAGTGCCTATGAGCGGTTTCCATGGGGGATATCTGATCCCAGAAGGCCCTTACATTATATATATGAGCTTATGTCAGTGTTATAGACTGTTATTTATAGGAAATCGTAATATGACAGCAAATAGGTTTCTGTTGAATTAGCATGTATATTACAGAATGAAATTTGTATTTGAAACATTCTGTTTCAAAATACCTTAAAAGCATTGTAGGGAGCGTTAGAAGGGAGAGGACACTTTGATACCGCAAATGATACCGTAAAGTGAGTGTGTGAAGTAAGATGATGAACTGATTAAAGGAAAAGAGCTGAAATACAAAGCATTAGACGTATCAGAAGTGCTAATGCAGACCGAGTACAGCGTGGTGTAATGCACTTGCAAGGTAAGAGAAAAGAGAGCATCAGTGGAAATCAGTCGTTGGCTAAAGCACAGGAGAAGATTTTAAAGAAGAGTTATAGGTGAGACTGACAATATTCAAAATACAACTCCCTGTCATTCTAGAGGGAGTGCTACTAGAAAGGCATTTAAGGTGGAAAAGGAGGGGTAAGGAGAGAAGTAAAAGCTGTTGAGTACGAGGTTAGAGAGAACAAATTCAGAAGTAACTTGAAAACCAGGAGGACAATTTTGATAGTGGATTTGCAGCTGACAAATACAGAGAACACTATAGAAATCGTGTAGAGGTGAAATAAGAGTTTTCTGTACTTTTGGCTCTTAAGTAAGTGCTACAGAAGGTGGTTTGAGTCCATCCGTGTACAAGAACATACAGGGTATGAACTGCATTTTAAAGACTCAAGGCCCGTGTTATTTGAGGTGTTGCAAACCTAGGTGGGCTTATGGCTTCATTAAAGAAGAGAAACTTGCCTGTCATTTGAGTTAGGGTTAGAAACAGACCCTAAAGATTTGTGATGCTAGGGTGAGTAAAACTGGAGTGAGGGAGCTGCTTCTGAGATGGAAACAAAAGGGACATTTTAACAAAGATTTCAGACAAATTCTCAAAGATTCTGTAGTATTTCTGCTGTTTCAAGGAATGATTCAGAGCAGATGGGAAGAGGGAGGGGGTGGATATCAGTCAGTCTCGGTTATCAACTGTTTTCCACCTCTGACCTCCAAAGTATAAAAAGTCATCGTGTGGCTGCAGGCAGTTTGGATTGAAAGGTTGCTGCTCTGTCATTCGTAGATGCTTTGGTCCTCCCCTGCCCACGCGAGGTTACTGCTCCCCCTCCGCATTTGCGGGTACATCTGATCCCAGGCAAACTTTTGTCAGCAGTCACCCGCAGTGTTTTAAATATCATCTGAAACCTTTCTTTTTTCTAAACCAACTTATTTGGGGCAGAACTGGATTAAGGGTTCATTTACATGGACGGAACTGAGGTGAGGATGAGGCAAGGAGTCTGAACTCGAGTCTGTGATATCCTAGGTCAACTGCGCAACAACACGTCTGACTGCAACCTGGATTTAATTTGAGGGCGCTGCTTTTTAATTTCACTGACGTTATTAAGGCGGCAGCCTTTGTTGTAACGATATTACTGTTATTCCAGCAGGTTTGCAGGCAGAAGTTGTTACGCTGTTCATTGAAAAAGCTAATAGCAAGATTTTCAGAGGCATTCCAAGAATAGCAGGCAACAAGATAGTAATCTGGCACCCACACATAGATTGCCTGTCGTGTCCTCCCCCTGCTAAAAAAAAGGAAATCTCCCTGAATGGGCTGCAAAATGGAAGGTGGGTGTGACATACTGTCGCACACACGGTATTGAATAACTGCAGCAGATGGGAGCAATACTTTGAGGAGGAGAGAGACAGAATGTGTCTCAAACTGCCGCAAAATTAGTGGAAGACAAATGTTTCATAACCCCATGAGGTGGAATACATGCCTGTGTTCAAACAAGCAAACAAAACCATCTTTCAGATTGTCCCCCAAAGATTACGGTGTGGGGCATGGGCCTGGGGAGGAAGGTTGTGCTTGGCTGCTCCAGGGAAAGACACCTGAGCACCATGATGCGTGTAAGAGAGGTGGATGAGTTCTGCTGAATTAATGCCGTCCTCCCTCTCACCCCTGCCCTTATCCCGCACACAAGTCAAGGAAGCACTGTGGTGGCTTCATTTGTCCAGTTGACATCCAACAGGTACTTACTTCATTGTGGTGGATGGGAGGGATCCTTGGGCTTCTTCCCACAAGTCCGATGATAGTAACACAGAGGAGAGGGGAGGAGTGCGTGAAAGATAACGCGGTGGGAATCTGAATCATAAAACCATGGCACAGCTTCCAAGAAACTATGTTTGCTTCTCTACCCTCTTCCCAGCTGTCTGCACCTTCTGAATTGCCTGAATAATTCAGATTTAATATAACGTTTTAATAGATTTTTCTTAAAATTCTCCGTAGCTGAGATTGGGGATTTTGATGAAACCATAGACCGTGAACACTTAGCGAAGAACAAGTATATACCTCAGCAAGAAGCACTAGAAGACAAAATCATGGAATTTCACCGTAGCCACATGTAAGACTTTTTGGTTCTTGTTATCGGCCGCCATTTCCTTTAGAGCAGTTCTAACTGTAAATATATGCTAGATCAGAAGTACAAAAGAGATTTGGACCTCTGAGTTTGTCAAAGTTCACTTCTCAAAAAACGTTCAAGCCTATGAATTTCCTGAAGGTTACTCCTGCCTTTCTGCCATCATCATAACAAGATGTTTAAAGAGCAATTGATTTTGATGTTCATTCAAGCATGCCATTATTTTACAGTCTGTTTCATACAAGATGCTTCACTGCTGATTTTGTGCATGCAGGTATGATTGCAAATGATGACTGATCAGTCAGGCACTTCTGACAGCAGTCTTTTTGATTTCAAGGACGTTCAATGTTGCCTTTTCACCTTTCCATGCTGTATTTAGAGATGGGTGAAGAAGGGATTTCATGATAGTTTTAGGAAAAGCACAAAGTGCTTGCAGAATTAGGGATTTGGGGGAATATGATTCAAGATGATGATGCAAATTGGTATCTTAAAGCCTGGACAAATGACTAGTAGTAAGAAGATGGTTAAAAGAATTACGAATAAGGCATAGAAAGGTACTTTTTTGCTGTCGAGAACACTTCAAGACTCAAACAGTTTCATTTTGAGCTACACTGAATTAGATTTGAGTGGTAGGGAGTTCTATAGCAGTAGTAATCAAATCTTTTGCATAATTTTATCGTGATTAATTTAGTGCTTTTGGGTTCCCAACGTTTATGTTAAGGCTTTCATGTCTTCTGTTTTACTTCATTTTGGTATTGCATTCACTTTTACGGTGAACAACATCTTTACATGCTTCTGTCTATGATTTTTGGGGGGGGAATGTAGCATGTTTTTCCAATGGAAAATACAAAGTTAATGGTTCAAAATCTAGCTCCATCAAGTGTCTCAGAATTGGAGCAATCAAAATTTATAATAGACTGTAAAATCTGTGGAGCCTTTGACTTTGGTTTAGACTAAGATAAAGTTGTTGTTGTAGCTGATATAAATCTGGGGACATAGAAAAACCGTACGGATATTATACCTCTGACAGGTTTCAGCCTCTTTGATGAAATGTCTCTTTATTCTCTGGAGGACCTGTTGATCTCTATTAAAAGGTGTGAAGAATTTGTGTGTCTTCTCTCTTTTCTTTCTCAAGGGGACAGACACCAGCAGAGTCTGACTTCCAGCTTTTGGAGATTGCCCGTCGCCTGGAAATGTATGGAATACGCTTGCATCCAGCCAAGGACAGGGAAGGGACAAAAATCAACCTGGCTGTTGCCAACACAGGCATTCTGGTGTTTCAGGTTAGAGCTGCTCAGGACATGACTTTGTACTTTATAAAGCAAAGAGATTTCTTACAGTGATAAGAATTCAGGACCTCAGCCATGTCTAAAAGCACTTAGTTGGGTTCAGGAACTTCCAAATTCTTTCTAACAATGACCTTAAGCTTTTTATAGCTGCGTTAGGCCCTTCCCTTCCAGGGACTCTTACCTTATTCGAATGCACAGAGTAAAACTCCATCTGCAGCCACAATGTGCTGTTCAAGATGCAAATTGATCCACAGCTCACAATTTGCAAGTTGGCCGTGCTGACACCTCCTACGTGTAGCAGCAGGTAGGTCTTGCAGGCGTGGTGCATACTAAATGGATGTGAAGCAGGGACAAATAAAATAACAGACAACTGGAGCGCATGAAGAAGGATGTAGGTAGTGAATGTAAGCTCTCCATAGTGTTACTTTGTCAAAGTTTTTACGATTTTCTTGACCAGCCTTGACCATTCTACCTTTGCTAAATCCAAGAATCTTACTTCTTTCTCTAAAAGGTCCAAAGTGTTTTCCTTAGGTTTCTTTCCTCTCCTCTCCTCTCCTCTCCTACCCCAATCAGCCTAGTAAATGTTCATGAGGCATCATTAGTAAATTTATCAAATTCTTGTTCTGCAGTTCCCCTTAGGTAAATAACAAATTGGACTTCTACAGTTGTGAAGGTACAGGTAGTCAGCTGGTGTAAACTGGTTTCATTTCCGATGAACTTTTGTCGACTAGCTTCCGAAATACTACTTACCTCACTCAGTTTACTTACTGTTTTTAACACAGTTCTTTAAAATGTCCATTTTTTCAATTGTCAGAAAAGACTATTCATTTTAACTGTTTGACTCTAGTTAAAATACTAATGTTTCCAACCTTATAAAGTAATTTGAGGCCTTTTATAAAGAAAAACAACAGCAACAAACACAGAAATATGTCTGACCCAAATGCTCTTAGATCTAAATTTAAAAAAAAAACAAAGACAAACCCAAACAATCAAACAAAACAACCACCGAACCCTGATTAACTAAATGGGTTGCTAGTAAAACCCCAAAATTGAAGCATAGATTGAAGAACAAGAACACCAGGATGTTGTTAGAAATGCACATAACTGAAATAATTGTATGTTCATGTTCAGACCCTTGCCCTGCTCCTCCACAGTATTTTCATCAGCTGAATTAATGAATTGCAAAACCTTGTAAATTAAGCCTGTCTTACAGCTGAAAGTATGTGTCCGCAGAAAACGTCACGGACCTCACTGAGTCCCAGCAGACAGCTGGGATTCTTCCATAAAGATGTAGCTACTGGTTGAAGGCCCAAAGCCTGATTTGTAAAGCTCTAAAACTCAGTTGTCTCTTCTTGTCCTAATGTGTTTGGGACTTTAAAAACAGGGTTGGTTGGGGTTTTTTTGAACTTTCAGAAAAGCCTGGAAATTTTGCTGGATCAAGTTCCAAGACTGAATGCTGAAAAGGAAGTCAGGCTCTGACCAGCAATTGGCATCTGGCAGTAGGCTGAGAGCTTCCTTCAAGCACTTCATAGAGCAAGAGCCATAAGTTCATCTTTTTATTTGGGAATCTAACTGATAGAAATTGAAATGTGAAGACCTCATTAGAATGACCTCAAGGAAAATAAAGGTTCATTCACAAATGGCATAAGCAGTAGTCGGACAGACTTATTTTAAAGCCTGCCATTTATGTAGAAATCAGTGTCAGTGCTGCTGAATATTCTAAGGGAGATTAGTTATGTGGTTCTTAGACAGCAGGTTGACTTTGCAGAGATCATCACACTGTCATTACTCCTACGTCTGTCTGATGACGACACCCAAATCAGCGTGGGTTTCTGCATTTAGCAATCCTGTAATAGCTCTCTGAAACTTCTGTGCTGTGCTGGAGGCATGTTTGTGTTGAAGTCGTTACTGGACAAACTGTTGTAATGAGTATTTTAAAGTAACACCTCCATTACCTTCTAACATAGATTGAAAACGAGACTTGGGGGGGAGGGCTAGGGGCTAATGATGTAGTGGCTGGGGAATGTAGTATTTTAAAGATAATTTTTCACAAGCTTGCTGTTTGCTTCTGGTTTGTGGTTGCTTTTTTTTTGGGAAAAGCATTTTGTGACTCTTCAGAGACAAGTAATTTATTTACATTCCTTTTACTTCTGTTACTTCCTATGAAAGGTCAAAATATTCACAGTACTTTGTACTTCCAGTACAAAACACCCAGTTGCTGGTTTTTCACCCCCCCCGTTAAGTAGAATTTAAAAGGGCGTTTATTTTGCCCTGTAGACAGACAAAGAGGAGGGAGATCTACCCCATGGAAGTGTTATTGTCTGGATTCCCTGCATTCTCTGTAGCTGGTGGAAAGAGAAGGAGGCACCTCTGGGAGGTGACTTAGTCCACTGGAAATCTGAGTCGACGTAGTGGAACAAGATAACATCACCTGGGCAAAAGCTGGGCCACCCTGTTTTGTGCAGTGATACTGTGTCGGACACTTTCACATCAACTCAGTATACCTAGTCCTATAAATATGCAAGAGTTTAACCATAAGTATCTGCCTTCAGTCACAGCACCAGATGCTTATGGTTTGCATTATCAGAGGAGAAATGATAAGAAATATCATCATTTCAAGTGAAGTGAATAGATGATTAATTTATGACAAGCTTTCTTTAGTGGTTTAGATTTCTCCATTCAGATCTGGAATGCTTAAACTCTGCTGACTTTGTTCTCTGTAGGGTCACACCAAGATCAATGCCTTCAACTGGGCTAAGGTTCGAAAGCTGAGCTTCAAGAGGAAACGTTTTCTTATCAAACTACGGCCTGATGTGAATGTAAGTCCTTGCCAGGAATTGATGAAGTTGACAAAAGGTTATTTGGTAAATCTCGATGCACAGATCAAACATGTTTTTATCACCTCAAGAAGATTTTTTTTTTAATTCATTAATGGCTTATGTTCACTGTTGGTGTTGCACACATCAACCTGGCATCTCAGGTGAGCAGTCCTAGCAAAGGAAATGTGAACTGAATGTCACAGAGTCATCTTCTGGCTGCGACTGTGGTACTGCATCCGCAGTTCTTAAGTTACAGCATGTAAACCACCTCTTCTCGTTAATGCGTTAGTTTAAGACCAGTGCTTTATCTCTGTCATATTTCTCAATGAACAGAAGTTTGAGCAATAGCTCTGATACTGCCAGGTAGATCAGTGGTGTCTCAAAGTGGGAAGGATAGGGCCTGTTAAGCCAGAAAGCCAATGAGTTTGGAAAAAGTGGGGGGTTTTGTGTTTGTTTGTTTTTTTTTTCCTTTGAGCATAGCGCCTGCTTTGTCAGCGTATCTCTATAATGTATGTTCCTTGCTTGCTTACACTGCAGTACTATCTCAATTTTCAGAGTTCATTCCAGGACACCCTGGAATTCCTTATGGCCAGTCGAGATTTTTGCAAGTCTTTCTGGAAGATCTGTGTGGAGCATCATGCCTTTTTCAGGCTTTTTGAGGAACCTAAACCAAAGCCTAAACCTGTTCTTTTTTCTAGAGGTTCATCATTTAGGTTCAGGTAAGACTTGCATTCTTCTTTCCACCTTTGTTGTCTCCCCATTTCAAAATCACATCCATAACGACCTAGAATTAAACCTATTATTTGCAGCTTCCTTTTTTTACATTGTAGTTTGCTCCTTTGTATTCCTCATTGCATCTTCTCAGCCAGAACAGTGCAAAGAACACTGTAGGAAGCGTTAATTTTATAGTAGATGTTGCAAAGTAGCTTTCTGGAGGTAAGATATAAAGTATATAGTTCTAACATAGGAAAATCCACCTGTGTCCTTAGCGACGCTACCTAGCAACTTTTTGGCTCTCTTTGGACCCTCTGGTTCTAGGATGGGATCTTTCCTATGTGTCAGAGTAGAGATTTGTATTCTTGTTGCACGGCCCTGTGGTAAACCCATCTCTATGCAGTTAAAAGCAATGGCTTCTCTTTGTGCTGAGACCTTTATGCTTGCAAAGGGTTTGTGCGAGAGGACCACCTATGCTAAGACCAAGTCTACCTATGCTATTATTAGAGCTGTAGGAAAGTTTTTAATAGTTGGGTTATTGGGGTTTTTTTCTTACACTGGCAGAAACCTCATTGTAGATATTGTGTTCTGTATGCCAGGGAGGGAAATCCTTTTATTCATGCAGTTTATTTTGTTTGTGAAGCTGATATAAGCTGAACAGCCAGAAACCCTCTTTGCTGAGATAAACTGTACACTCTAGTTGCCTTGCACAAGAACGTAGTAGATGTGGCCATTCTAACTCCCCTCTCGCTTTGGCTTCTGACTGCAAAGTAAATTAATTACAATGGAAGGACCTATGTTAAGTTAAACAAGCTGTAACTTGTTAAGTTTCTGCCTGAGTAAATAGCAGACTGTAGGCGCATCCAACTTACCTCCTGGTTTGGAGAACAGGTTTTGGCTACATCTTCCACTCGCTGTGATCTGTGCTCCGTACATTCAGTAACTTTTTCCAGACCTTGTGGTAATTCAGTTAGTTGAATTCCCCTCTAATGAATGGGAAGGATTTGATTCTCTCTTGAGTATTCTTGAGGTGTGAGTTTCCTTAACTGTTCTCAGTTCCCTTCAGAGTTTATAACTTTGCACAATAGGAAGTGCTGAGCTTTCTCACTACTTTTTCATGACCTGTAGCAGAAGGGGAGAAAGGGATATCCAGCCTAAATCTCTGCAGAAAATGTGTATGTGCTTAGTTGATGTATTTAATAGTAGTAACTGAGTCATGAAATGCATTTTAGTGGTTTTCATCTTGGTTCCAGGGTTTACTGATACCAGGTAAGGCTGGTATTTGGCTCAAAAGGATTCAAGAATATTTTTTGTTCATGAGAGGAAAACTTAACCCCTGCTTCGCTTTCTATTGTGGTGACTTCCCAGTAATGCAGTACCCTATAGAGAGCACACAACTGAATTTAAGCAGTTCTGAAATGGCATCAAAAAGTAGCTTCATAGCAAAAAAAGAGGCAAGTAACATGCAAAATGATAAAAATCTGTGTGTGTCTGACCAGGTTCCCTTCTTTACGATCTTACAGGAGTTTCTGCTGACAGTGAGAAACACTTCTCTGGTTGCTGTGACTTCATATGCAGGCCACATACATGTTGATGATGTATATTGTATTAAATATTTTAACCGTGGTTTTCTTCCAGTGGTCGGACTCAGAAGCAAGTTCTTGACTACGTTAAAGAAGGAGGGCACAAAAAAGTGCAGTTTGAAAGGTGAGAGGAAATAAATGAAGTATCCCAATGTTTTAGTCAAAGAAAAGTCATGACTTTCAGTTATTTATATTCTAAGATCTTGGCAGCAGTCCAAGTGAAAAATGCCGCCTTTGCTGCTTTGACACTTTATCACTTGTATAATATCCCTTTGGTCCTGAATGTTTCGATGGAAGTCAGCATAACCTATAGTTTACTTGTAATCAGTAGTTTTCTATCTGTTTTTCAGCAGTGAGTATCCTACCATCACAGGTAACTTCCTCCCATATTGATTTGCACCCTCTTTGGTGGGATGTGGTTAATGTGTGTGAACAGACATATTCACTTCAGAATAAAACTGAAAGTAACAGAAATAGGTATAGCCAACCTCAAGGGAGAGGTCTCCAGGGAAAGCTTCCAACTTGCTAGACCCAGTTCTGTCTGAGCTCATCTTGCTCATGGCGAGCTGAAGGTAATGGCCAAAATGCCACAAAGACCATGACAACAGTTCATTGTGTATGACTCGTGTTCTGGTGATAGACCATTTTTGCTTCAGTGCCTCTCCCTTTTCTTACAATAGTATGTTTGCAACGCATAGCACATTTGCATTTTACAGAAAGGAGGAATGTTAATCTGTTTTGGAGCAAACTATTATGAAAGCTGCTCTTCAAAGTTTCTGTTTTAAAGGAGGCATGTCTCTTGATTCCTATCTGTAGAAAAAAAAAAACTGAAATGGCTTCTTATTGTGATTTTCCTTTTACCTCCAGGAAACACAGCAAGATTCATTCCATCAGGAGTCTGACTGCACAGCCTTCAGAACAGCATTCAGAGGTGCCAAAACAAGTCAGTGATGTAAATGAAACCCTGGATCATGGCTTTTAAACATTTCTTGTTAGATTACCCTGCACTGATTGCTGTTTTGAAACTCTATGAGCATAGTTTTCTGCTCGCTTTCCATTTAACTGAGAGCTGAGGAGCCCTTAGGTGTCATAAGCTTTAGGTTCTGCAAGTTGAGCAGTTTCATTTCCACGGTGGAACAGCATTGCTTCCAGACAACCAGACAAATATAAATAGTGAGCTTGTCTGGGCTGTACTAATGACCATCTGAAAAATTGCAATCCACAGCGTTACTGCTGGGGTCCTAGATTGTAGCTGGTTGTTGCATCTGGGAAAAGTTTAATTCTTTTTCTTCACTGGTGAGTCTTGGTTGACCAGGACAAGGTGTTTTGTCGTATTAACCAGGGAGGAGAAGAATTATTTCATCAGAAAAATTACAGCTCTGGATGTTTAAGCCATTATCTCTGGTAGATACTTAATGTGTTTGTCTTATGTGAATAGCTGTTATGTGTTAGGAGTTTGCAAATCCAATAGCCGAATAGTGGCAAGGGTGCAGCAGCTGCACTTTCCCAGTTCCAACCAGTAGTAAGGCTGAGTGTGTATTCACTATGGGCACCCGCATAACTGCACATATACAAGATATATACACGCAGCCAGCCACATGGGTAAACACAAACAGAAAAGGGCACTCCCACAAGCACAAACAGTGCCAGTGGCCTCACCCTGTTCTACTCTTTGACTGATCAGGATGAAAATTCATTTGTGGAAAATATGTATACATATATACGATATGGATCCCTCCTGCAACTGGTCTTAGACACTCAGTCTACCAGTAGCGGGCCCCTGCATTCCCAGGTCTCCAAGTGGCTGCTACCTGGACATACAAGCCCCCAAGGCTCACAGCCCCACTCCGAGTGCTGCTGTTCAGATCTGCAGACACACAAGCTGTGGGTTCTTCCAGTAATTCATCTTAGACACTCAGTCGAACCAGTAACTGACACTTGGATCCTCTGGTTCCCGGTTACCTCACACACATGCAAAGGTGTCTCGCCAATAGCTGGTACAGACTTAGGACATTGCCTGTAATTGAACTCCAGGCCCCATGGTCTTTCCAGTGTCTGGCCTGACTTATGACTGCTCCAGTACTTGACTCCCAGCTCTCTTATCCTACTCATCAACTAGTCCAGTTTAAGGTTTGCTAGCAATTACACATTGACCTACCCACCCACCCAATATGAACAGTTGTTGGCATACCAGAAACACCCAGACCATAGGCTGGTGGCTCTCCTGGGACAGCCCCCAGAGGAGCCAGGTCAGGGAGCTCTGTTTTCCTGACTACGTTATTGGGGTTCCTCTGCCTGCCAGTGTTTCTCTGTGCTCATCTCTGTTTGTGGAGGTGAACCTTTAATTGCATAACCTTAGGTTAGGTAGAGCTTAAATGTCAGGAGCAAGCTACTGGGTTAATGTATATAAGAATGTACCTGAACCTTCACCTTCCTTGCATTGCTTCCTTTTGATATTCACAGGCTCTAATTTCTGCAAATCTAAGAACTTCACAATATTCTGTTATAAATGCGGCCCATTTCAAATCTCTTTTAGCATTTTAATATTGCTAAGACAAACTCAGGTAGAAGGAGCATGGCTACTGGGCAGATTTGACATATTTATGTGTGCAGAAAAGCCAGCCCGTGAACTAGTGGCGGGTATGCTCCAGGGATTGAACGTGGGGTGCTCAAAAGCCCACACATGGCTTTTGTAGTGTATATAAGTAGGCTGTGCAGAATTTGTCCTACGTGCTTTTCTTTATCTCCAGCTTCTCAGAGTAGTGCAAACAGGTTGATGTTCTTGGAGTGTTGATGGCTGCCTTAGGGCATGGAAACACCTCAAATACCCCTATTTACATATTACCACATTCTGTCTGCCTTCTCTTCCCTTGCTTAGCTTATGTATTTTTCTGTTCTTCAAGATCAGAGACCTCTTATTTTTAATTCTAATTCATTTTGAAGCTTGGGTTACCGCTTCTGCTTTCAAAAGACTCCTATTTTGCTGCAGATGCAGTGCAAAATTCTGGTGCGTAATTACATGTAGCCTCTTCCCTCTGACTCCCTTCCCTCCCAAACCTCTCCCCTCCCACCTGTCCCTCCCCCTTTCTTCTCCCCCTTGCCTTCCCTGTTTTATCTTTCCAGAGCTCTAGCTTTGCCTATGGAGACGACAGTGATGCTGCAGCGGTGCAGAGCTGCCGGCAAGGAAAGGAATTGAAAGCTTCAACAGAAGACACTGGACAGCACAAGAGTCCTTCCTTGAAGAAGAGCCCAAAGGAAGGCAGAAAAGTGGACGGAGCAGTGGTGTCAACAGTGGAGGAAGAAGAGGAGGCTGCTAAGGACAGGATGCAGCAGAACAGACCTCAATCACAGCAACCAAGCACAGGTCCAGCTTCCAGGGCTGCTCATGGCAGCAGCACCTCCATTCCTTTCATTGACTGCAGTGATGTAGATAGCGAGTATGATCTCCTCAGAGGACAAATAACCCGGTCATATTCCCAAACAAATGACAATTATGAGGGTGATTTGACCAGTGGTGCCTATATTCACCTCAGAGATGAAAATCGCAATAGAACTAGATATAGGGATTCCTCAGCCTCTATAAAGTCTTCCCAGTATCTCTCTGAAGAGTACCTTGATGATAACCCGGCTAATCTCTCCTTCTACGCTGGGGGAAGCCCCCGGATGCCAAGGCACAGCTCGCTGGTTGATGAAATGTTTAGAGGGCCAGGGAGCCGTAGTCCGCTGGCCACTCCATTGCCTCCCAGTAGCAAAGGGTCAAGCCCTAGTATGAGCCTGAGTAGAACTGGCTCTCAGGGTTATGGCTCAGAAAATGGGCATGACTGCAGGGTGAGGCCTGGGGAGGAGGATAGCCATGCCAGTAGTTGCCATGGGTATTGCAGATATTCTCCAGGTTCTCAACGGCATCATGCACAGAAAATCCCAAATCTCTGCAATAAATCAGTTACAGATCCATTTATCCTGAGCCAGATATCCTCAACGCCCGGGCAGGAGTATAGATCAGAGAGTTATTGTAAAGGAGGCGGGGTGGCCAAGATATCTTCTCCAGAAGGCAAAATGATGGCCAACGGCATGCCAGCCGGGGCACAGGTGAAGCAGAGCCCAGTCATGCAGTCACTCCATGCCAGTGGCATGCTGGATCACATGGCTGCAGTCCAGATGATGGAGGGCTCCACCAGCAGTGGGACAGAATCTAGCGATTCTGACTCGGAAATCATTAACCCCTTCACTCATCCCCTGGTGTTTGGAAATCCCATTGTGCTGAGTTCCTCTCCCATGCCTAGAAATAAGTACTCCTTTGGAAGCCTTCAGCTTGATGAGGAGGTAGAGGAGGATGCATCTGTTGGCCTCAGTGATGAAGATGGTGTGCAGGTCTTCAGCTGCTAGGGACTCGGGCATGTGAGACCAGTGGATACTGTGATTGCTGGTTAGAGTGGTTGCATCTTCTGAGGCTCGTGCAGAGTGACTGGTAATAATTTCAGTGCATGGGCTGTTTCAAACGTTACCGTTATACTGACCAGCCAGAGGGAAGGGACGCTAGAAATACAATAATAAGTCTCAGTGAAGCTTAACAGTAAAACAGCATCTCCTCTGAAAGGCGGGAGGAGTGGAAAATTATTACTGATTTAGGTACCTTTGTAAGACTTTATACACTCACTTGTTTGTATGAAGTCGTATTTTAGGTATATATTGTAGCTTCTTTGACACTTGACTAGTTATTTTGACAAAACAAACAAAAATGAAATTAAGTAGGTACGTTGTGCTCTTTTGTATGTCTATTACAAATTTTTTTCTCTCCCATATAAGGAGAGCAACTTATGAGTGCCTCAACAGAGTTAGGGGAAAAAAATTAAACTTAGGACCAAATGCAGGCAGCTTGATATTCAAGACCAAGACTTACTGAAATCTTGAAATATGCTGGAAAATCTTTTCATATCGAGAACATGTTTGGTCTATTCATCTTCATAACGCATTTTACAATCTTTGATGAACTGAGGATACAAATTAGGCATGTGTACAGGGACAATGACAGTATTGGCTTTTTCTTCAGTGGGTTCAACAGGCTGATTTGCTGATGGAGATTTTGAAACTCCAAACTCTTCCTTGGGCAAGAAAGAGAATAAGATAACAGATATAATTCAAGTGAAAAAAGACTTAGATTGAAACAGCTCTAATGAAGAGTGGTATGAATATTACTTGCAAGGCAATCCTTTCTATCCTTTATCAGTGTGGTATAAAGATTAATTGCAAGAGATTATTTTTTTTCCCCTTACTCTTTCAGTGGAATTATTATGGAGACATCAAAGTTCTGTTGTGGGTTATTTTTGATGGGGGGTTTGGAGAGAGTGGCTCTTTAATTTTATTTTTGGCTTTGATCACGAAAAATCTTTGTCTATACAGGATCCAATTAGTCTGTCATAGGCTATTTTTTTAATAGTGCCACCTCATAAATTTTTCATCCTCTGACACAGAGAATGATGGGACTAGCTGTGGTCCAGGCTGATTGTCTTCTGTACTGTACATAGAGTGGTGAGATTTTGGCACATGTGCAGAAGGCAGAGAGACTAATTCTTTGTGAACTTCCTTTTCACAGGCTAAAAGTACTGGGAATTAAGGCTGTATCCTAATAAAATCTGACTCTGGTTTCTCCAAGTTAATTAAGAAAATCCAGATGAAAGGTCTCCTGTATGGATAGTGTTCTGCAGTTATTAGAGCTGGGAGACAAGATGTGCTCTTTAACGCTGGCCTTAATTTTAACTTTTATATATTTTTCTTGTGGTGGAAGGGAGCTAAATCTGAGAATTTTAAGTGATGAATAACAGCATTAACTGAACCGCAGGTCACTTGCAGTGATCTGCATCATGCAGTACATGCGTGCAGCAGTGATGAATCCACCCACATAAGTACTGATCAACAAGTTACAGGACTTTGTAAATCAAGACAATATAAAATTTTCAAGGTGATTTTTACAAAAATAATAAACTAAGAAGTCTTTTTAATTTTTCTAATGCCTTGGTCTATGCACACTTTAACAGAGTTTAATCTGAGTGAAGGATATTTAAAAAGACACCTACAGTAGTTAGGCGTGTCTTGTTGTATACTTTACTTTTTTGCAGTAAAATACATCTTTGTGTAAATACAAGTTTTAACCCGCTCGTCTCCTTTAGTGTGTTGGTTTTCTTAAAGATTAGATACCTCCTTCTTGAACAGGATTGGTTTAAAGCATCTCTTTAGACAGTGATATTTTGGTGACAGGATGTGCTCTCCTTTGTTCCTGTAGTTTAAAGCATGAATCTAGAAACAGCAAGATTGATAATTAGGGAAAAACTTGCTTGTATATTCTTGTGAAAGAAGGTGGTTTGTGTTTTGGATTTAGAATAGCTGTAAAATAATTGCCTTGAACTTCTCAATATTTAAGACAAAAGATAAGTAGTTGAAGCCTGCGTTCGCAGATAGCGTGAGCATGGGGAGTGGGTGCATGAGTCTGCTTTTGATTTTTTTGCTGCCTGTGCAGCCAAAGTACCGGTAGTTATATTATACAGTAAAGTAATAGCAATCTGGATTAATTGCTTTCTTAGCCAGTAAAATTAGAGTTTACGTAATGGATTTTCAACAGAAGGATTTGAAACCTTTTCTGCTCCTTAAGGAAAGTGAATAGATTTCATATCGTTTGGGTTTGAGTAAATATAAAATACCATTTTCAGGCCTGATTTCTTCTCCCATATGCCTACAAAGATAATGGATAATTTCATAAGAACAGACCTGCTGGTAGCTGGAGTTAGCCTAGTTGTTAATAAAGTATCTCAACAACTTTTCCCTTTTGAATATTATCCTCAAAAA